GGTGGATGCCGAATCTCAGAAGGTGATGCAGGAAAAGGAAGCCTTCTCCCTGAAAGCCCTGACTCCACGACCTGCCCTCAGAAACTGCAATATGTTTTCCTGGAATAAATTTGTTAGTGACTCAAGGAGATTTGGGCTGGGAAAGGAGGTCGTTCTTTGATGTTCCCCAACACCCATGAAAACAGTGTAATTCTTGTCAGTATTATTTAGTAATAGTACAGATGTTTGCCAGCCGAATAATCTCTCTTGCAGCTGCTCAGCTCCCCTCACAGTCGAAGGCAATGCACTCACAAACTTCAGTGCTGCGTTCCACCAAAACTGATTATGAGCCAAGATTTGAATCACCATTTTCTTTTGAGACAGGGTCTCATGTAGCTCAGGTTAGTCCCAAATGATCTATGTAGCTGAGGATGGCCTTAAACTTCCAACCTTCCTGACTCCACTTCCAAAATGTTATAATAGGCGTGTGCTAGCTTTGTTTATGCAGTACCAGGGACCAAACCTGGGGCTTTGTGCAAACTAGGGAAAAGCCTTCTTCTAACCAAACTACACCTCTGGCCCCTGAGATCTGAGTTTTATATGTCTCCCAAATGTTCTTGGCTCGTCTTTCTCCCAACCATGTTTAAATGTAAAAGCTAATGTTAACTTGAAAGAGTATAACAGGTTAGAATCCCTGCATATTGGTGTGCCAAACTTTTTTCTTAATTAAAAACATCCCATACTTACAGCCTCATGATCTGGATTTGAGACCAGGATCTATAATTTACTGGGCCTGGAGCTTTGGTGGAATTATTCAGTTTGCCTAAACTCTACAACCCCAATTACAGAGATGTCGATTATAGTGCCTGGCCTCCTGTGGGTTAGAGTTCCACGAGATAATTTGTGGGAGCATTCTGAATTTACTACACAATGTTAGGTAAAACAGTGTTTTGCTGTTGGCTGTGCATTGTCAAAACTGTACTCATTGTCCAAGTCCCTTAGCAACCTCCTGACAGCGTTGGGTTCTACATGACGTTTTGAATCAAAAGTCCCCTCTGAGACACTGAGAGTAGACATATTGGGAAGAAGAATGTTTCCCCTCTACTCTGAATTACAAGGTGACGTTTTCTTAAAGGCGGGTTGGACATAAAGTCTAACCCAAGACAATGCTTTTTTTAAACCATGTTGTAATATCAGCCAATCTCTTATGACAATTTTGCTTGTGTTTTCCGACTTTGTAGATACCCCATTGAATTGAAGTCATAGAAATGTGTCATCTAGGGAATGCTGGTCATGTGTGGGGGACTTGTCATTTTGAGCTGCCTTGTCCAGGTTTCTCCCAGCTAAAGGATCTGGTGGTTTTTTTTTTTCAGTGCACTCATGGACTCTTCCAAAGCACACCTTAGTCAAACAGTCTCTAAACACTGCAAAGATACCATCTTAAATTCAAACAGAAAAGCGATCAGGTGGGGCAAGAGACAAAAAAAATTGTGGACATCTAGGCTTTAAAAATGAAGCCTTTAAATTAAATTTAAATTAGAGTATAATAACAATAGCAATAATAATAATAATAGTAAAAACCCCAGGCATGTCCAAGTCCTATTTTGGCTAAACCTGCAAGAGAAAAGTTGTGCTTAAGAGTACAGTAGCTAGATTTCTGTTAGGAACTTAGGTACTAAATTAAATCAGTAGGTCTGGAATAGAGAGAGGGACAGAGAGGAAGGGAGTAAAGGAAGAGAGGGTTCTACCTCACGGATATGGACTCACAACCACACCCCAGCACGATGTTCAGAAGGACCTGGAAAGGGTGAACCGATTCTAATGCATTAGGAAGGGGTTAAGTCAACCTCTAAGTGATAGGCGCTCTTCCTATTGGAAAGTTAATGTCAGGGGATGCAGGGGGATGGGGGAAGGTCAGTAGGGAGAGGACCATAAGGGTCTCTTTAGCCCCTCCCTTCCGGACAATCCTCGGGGAGTTCATTTGCTCTGTCAGATTGGGGTCAACTGTGACAGCCCTCACCTTTGAGTTCCAGGGTTTCTGCGGATCTCACTGTGCTTTATGGGAGATGTGGCTTGGAGACACCAGCCAAGCAGCCCAAAATATCAAGGGGGAGGAGGGAGGGAGGGGGAGAGAGAGAGAGTGAGAGAGCTCTCTTGGTTATGGATGGATTGGTGCATTAATAGGCTTATGTATTTTCGTAGCACTTGACCTATACTGGTGGAGAGAGGGGGTTGGGGACCAGAAAGGGGAGGCATCGGGGGTCCCTTCTGCTGAATTATCTTAATGAAAAAAACCAAACAAACCCATTGACTACTGGCTGCTTAGAAAACGTCGGGGTCGTAACGACCTCCTCTCACATTTTAACAGTAGATAACAAAATACACTGTCGAACCGTTTTCCCAGTGACTGTAGAAAAATAGACAACGTTTGATAAGGGCATTCTAACGGAAGGTCCCTTCAGGACTGCTGGCTCTTAGAGACTCTGAGCTCCTGTCCCACACAGGAATTTGTAGCGCTCTGCTGAGGTCACGAGCGAGAGAGCATGGCTGTGCGAGTGTGGCACTGTCGTCCAGGTGTGCCAAGGAACAGGCCAGGAGCCACCAACTTCACGGCCACCCCTTCCAACCCATCAGCGGGGGACCCTTCTGTCCTTTCCACATCAGTGTCAGATTTCAAAAGGCCCAGTGAGTCTTCAAGAGCTAAAGTCCGCAGACATTTGGCAGGCGGTCTCCACCTTCCTTGTGCTACACCGGCCCTGCGCGCGGGGCTGCTGCAGATTGGTGCCCCAAAGCGGGGCAAACTTTCATAAGGCTAAAAAGCAAGGTTGGGCCATGGAACCTCCCAACAGCCTCTTGGGAACTGCATCAGGCTCCTCCTCCTCCTCCTCCTCCTCCTCCTCCTCCTCCTCCTCCTCCTCCTCCTCCTCCATCTCCTGCTTCAAGTTTGCAGGGTGGAATGCGATCGACCCACAAATAACCAGTTCTGAAAGGACATACTGGCAGGTAGGGGAGGGCTGCAGCCAATAGCTTTGCTTCCCAGAGTGTGGTTGTTTGGGTTTGGCAAGATCTCTGCGGAGGGAGAGGAGCGACCCAGGTGTTGGATGGAGGAACCGCTTCCCATAATTCCCTGGGCATCTCTCTTATAGGCAAGGAACCCAGGCTGCAGGCGAAGCCTCGAAGCCTCGTGCAGTCTGGTCAAGGGTAGCGAGGGAAAGGGGGTGGGGGTGGGGGTGGACCAGCTAGTTTGACCTCTTTGACCTCCACGGTGCAAAGTCTCAAACTGAGCACATCTGTAGGAGCTTGAAATGAATCTAGATCCCTTGGATGCATGTTCATGATGGCGATGGTGTTAAGGACGAAGGGTTTGTAAATGCGAAACCAACGAGAAAGATCGGTTACGGTGCAAAATCGCCACCTGCCCCCTGAGGTCTCATTCAAGACCCTCCTCCCAAGTCTGACTTTTCATTTCATTCTGGAAACTTAGGCTATTACCCACGTTGCCTGCCTTCCTTTGCTCGTTTGAGACTAAAATGAGTGTAAAATGCTTTGATTATTGTTGGTGTCTGTGCTGTTTCATTGGAGAGATACTTGGATTGGATTTCAAATAGTGAACTACTTCTTGTAGCCACAAAAAATCTGTTATCTACTCTTGGTACGCCAAATTCCCGTCCTTTCTTAATAGTAATAACAATACTGATGGTAGAAGATTAAAAAACAAAAACAAAAAAACAAACACACACACAGTGTAAGAAATGGTAAGGACAGGCCCCAGGTACAGGCATGCCCGGTGAAGTCGGAGGGCAGGGAGTTGGTGACGCAATGCCGTCGTGCCTTCCCGAAAGCCACGGCTGCACGCACACTGGAGCCTTCTACCGATGGCTCGCCACAGCTCCCGTGAAAACCCTGCAGTTTCTCACGACTGCACAGAAAAGCAGTTTCTGAAACTGCTGCGCTCCTAAGGGCTAGAGGGAGAAGTCATTGTGGGGTTGTGTTAGAGTCTTTACTCCTGGGAGTCCCTCTCAGGTCAGTCAGAGAGACCCTTGCTATCTGTATAAGCAAGTGACATCCTCTTTTGCTTTTTGTTTTTGTAGATGTGTCACAGTAGTATGCCAGCATTTTAGATGGTGGGTCTTGCCATCTCTTAGACCCCCGGACTGTCCCCAGACATATGGCTTATTAGATTCAACAGAAGGACCACAGAGGGAACAGAATGGCCCCCTAGCAAGTGACAGCCCGGGACCCGGGACAAAGGCCGTGCATGTAGAGGGCCAGCAGTCAAGGGTGGGAAACAGGGATAATCAAAACACACGGATGACAGAGCAGAAACACCTACTGTACACTGGGAATCTTTTTTTTTTTTTTTGCTTCTTGTCTCTAAAGTTGCACGTCTAAAGCTACAGGAATGATGCATCTATGTACATTGCCAGGAGCTCCGCCCCACTGCATGTCATGTTCTATTACTGAGTGCCAAAGGAGAGTAATTCCACGGGGCAGATCTATGTACAGTGGTCTAACCTTAGCTCAGCTGGGTCCTGCGCCCTCAGCGTCTGTGCGGGCAAGCGCCTGCCCTGTGCTAGGTGAGATGGACCAGGCTCAATAAAGCTGAAGGGACATGTTCTGTGTGACCTATGGCCATGGTGAACAGGTGACCTTTGTGACACTGGGTAAAAACCCTTTGACAGCTCTTTTGAGTGACTTGCATTGGACAGTGCAGGGGTGGGGGTAAGCGTCTAAGTCTCTCCTGGGGGGGGGTGAAGGGAGAGGAGAGAGGCCAGGCTTGGGCCACAAGTGAAAGGTACTTGTACCGCAACCAAATCCCTGTCTGCTTGTCCACCTGAACATCCGAGAGAGGGCAGGTAGGCATTTTACACCTCGAGGATTTGCTTTCTGGAAATGCCAAAATTAAACGTAAACAAACCGGGATCAGAGCCAAAGAGAGCGACGGAAGGGGGCGGGGAATGAGAGAGACAAGGAAGGGTCACGTCTGAGAGGGAGGGAGAGGCCGACCCAGCAGGGCCTACACTTTGGATTCATTCTCTAGGTTTGCCACGTCACCATTCCTCTCCGTCTGCTCTTCCGGGTTCTTCTCTTCCTCCTCTGTCTCCAGTTCCGCGTGCTGGTTCAGTTTGCTGGACACAGACCAACTCAGGGGCAGCTCTGCCCTGTTAGCCAGCTCAGCTAGCTCTTTGGCACTAAGGGACGGGGTGCTGGTCTCATAGGTCTCGTGGAAGCTGTTGTAGTCGACTTCGTAGAACCCGTCTTCCAGTGTCAGGACCGGAGTGAAGCGGTAACCCCACAGGATCTCACTGGTGATGTAGGAGCTCCGGGCTTGGCACGTCATTCCTGTGGGGAGAGGACAAAAGGGGCTTTAGGACACGTGAGTTTGGGCTTTCCAAGGCCAAGGAGACTGGGGGGGGGGCGGCGAGCAGAGCTGTTATGTGGAGGCATTTATACTGTATTGTGACCCGTACAGGAGGGTGACGGCTATCTTTCTCACACTGTAGACACAATGCTCTATCTTCTGAGATGGTCTATGAGCCCTGAAAGAAGGAGGGAGTGTGATACAGATGTCCCTTTTGTGGCTAAATAGTCTATCGTCACTTATTCTCTGCACTTTAACAAGTTATAAGTTTCTTAATTTATCTTATTAATGTCTATGTGAGTAAGTGGCTAGATTGTGGGATGGGGGAGGGTGCATGTACCACTGGGCAGTCGAAAAGACAATCTTATGGAGTCAGTAATCTCCCACATTTACGTGGGATTTGGGTGAGTTTAACTCAGCTTGCCAGCTTCAGAAAGCCCTGGAATTTTGTGGCATTATGTCTACAATGTGAGAAAGGTAGCTCCATAGCTGTCACCCTCCTGTACAGAAAGTTAGCCGCCCCAGGCACTGGCTCCTGGTAGACTGATAATATTTTATTCTGGTGGCTACTTCACAACCGGTGCTGAGAAGACAGCTTTCAAAATACTGAAAGAAAAATGGTTATCAACCAAGAATTCTATACCCAGCAAAACTACCCTTCACACAGTGAGGGAGAAAGAAGGCATTCAGTGAGCAGACATGCAGACATATTATTGCTAGCAGTTTTGCAGTACATGGGATCATGAAAGGAGTCCTCCAGGAAAACAAAAGGAATCTGGGTGATAACTTAAATCCACATGAAGCAATAGATGCTGGTGTAGAGAAAATACACTGTTTTCCCTGTAGTATAATTTTGTGCTGGATACATCTTGTGGTAACATTGTATAGCATACTATAGTTTATTCACCCAATAAAACAGTCATCCAAAAAAGTGTGCAATCCTTACAGCCTGGGGAGGTTTAGAACTGACAGTGCAACTTTTACACCTGCCCACACAGATCTAGTTACATTCCTGGGCTTCCTTGGTTAATTTGGATCATCCCTGTCCCCACGATCAAACATCAGCAGAGGGTCTGCAGCACTGCCCTCTCCACTCTCTGTACCTGATCTGAAATAAATGAAGATGGGAAAACAACAGAACCAAACTTCCACTCAACAGAGGCAGGGTAGACTCTCACATCAGACACACAATCAGCAAAAGAAGTCCACGCGTTTACACACGCATATGTGTATGTAAGCAACAGTAACTAAAGAGGGAAGAGTTTCAGAGGGGGTGGGGGCTGCATACATGGGAGAGGGAAGGGCTGAAATGGCGGCGGCACCGTATTTCTACCTGATTTTTTGAGGCAGGGTTTCTCACTGAGCCTGAAGTTCACCGGTTTGGCTACACTGGCTGACCAGCAATCCACAGGGATTGCTGTCTCTACTTCCCCAACGTTGGGATCACAGGCATGCACTGCCATGCCTGACTCTTAATTTTATTCTATTTTTTATGTGGCTTCTGGGTACTGAATTCAGTCCTCACGTTAGTGCAAGACGAGCTTTACCAACCGAGTCAACTCTCCAGCCTCGTTTTTTTTTTTTCTAAAAGTTATTTAAATTCTCTAAGTCCCTAGTGGGTTTCGCAAGTGTTTCAGAGGCATGCACAGAAACAGTCCATCTTTGGGCATCTACTTCATTTCCTGATAAAACCACAAGGGTAAGCAGTGCAAGGCTCACTCCACCTTGGAGCCACGAAAACACAGACGCGTCGCCAAGGAATCGGCAGTGAAACGCAGGAGCAGATCCTGCACAATTTAAATTTAGCAGGCAAAGCTCTAACTTTAGATTCAGTGACGTTTCAATGGGAGAGGTCTGTGTGCAGAATAGTGACAAGATGAAAGCCATCTTGAGAGAGCCCCTCGGGACACAGCCAGAGGTGCAGGAGCAGACAAAGAACAAATCAAATCTGCCCGGAGAATAAGATGGCAGTAAAATAAACCACTCTGCATCTGAGTAATGTAAGATCGGCCTACACCGCCGACATTCCAAAACAAAGAGGGGTCCGCTAGAGATGCTTTGTCATTTCACTTGAGAGACTACCCCTCCTGCCCAGCTCAGCAAGAGCTGCCCTCAGTCAGCCCAGCCCATAAATGTTGTGCATGCTGGTGCTGGAGCACTGGGCTGCCAGCTGTGGGAGAATGATCTCGGTGACTCACGGATCCGTGTCAGATGGAAGCGGGTAGTGTGGTCTAATTTAACACGAGGATGTGAACGTAGCTCAATCCGGCCATGAAATACAGCCGCCCCTGCTTTACCCTCAGGCTCAGAAGTCCCTTCAGCACACACTGTGCTCTCTCAGTGCTGTCAGAGCACACCACACTTTCTCTAACCTGGGGGTCTGGGCGGTTTTCTGGTTGGTAGCCTGCCGCGTGTACCCGGAAGCCAATCGGAAACTTTCCCGGACTTTAAAAAGTTCCTCCCCTAACCGAACGTCTACCAACCGAAACCCGCCTCAGCACTTCCTCCAGTCAACGTCTTAAACTAGCTTCTCTCAAGATCCTTTGTTTCTACAGAAGGAAAACGATGGCATCTGAGTGCCTTGTACACTCTGGGTCTGTGAATTCGACCAAGCTGTTGCTTTGACACCACTGTCCACAAATGGTGCTGAAAGTGAATTCTCTTTCTGAACCTCAGAGAATTCCCGTTAAGGTGGTGCAATCAGTCTTACATCTAAACGTTATTTTTTTAGAACATTATTTTAAGGTGTGTGACTTCGTTTATGCTGTGTTTGTTTAACTCCGTGAAGCTGTGTTTAGACTGTGCCTGTCTAAAACACCTGATGGCCTAATAAAGAGTTGGACAGTCAATAGTGAGGCAAGGATCGGCAGGCTGGCAGGCAGAGAGTGTGACTAGAAGGAGAGGGACAGTAGGAGAACAAGGAGAGGAGGACGTCAGGGGCCGGCCACCCGGCCACCCGTCCACCCACCCAGCCACGGAGTAAGAATAAGATTTATAGAAGAGAACAGGAAAAGCCCAGAGGCCAAAGGTAGATAGAGTAATTTAACATAAGAAAAGCTATCTAGAAACAAGCCAAGCTAAGGCCAGGCACTCATAACAAAGAATAAACCTTAGTGTGTGATTTTTTTTGGGAGCATGGTGGTGGACCCCCCAAAAAGTCAAAAGAGCAAAAACAACACACAACACAGCCCCTTCTTTTAGTTAGACACAGCCAGCTGGGTTCATTTGTCTCTGTTCACATTTCTCTTCCGGGTCATTTTTGTTTTTCAAGTTGTAAATCAGTTGACTGATTAAAAAGCTTGGTCAGCTCCGAACGATTTACCCAGCAAAGCCTCACTCCCATCCCCCTCCCACCCCGTTTTCTCCCCATCAGTGTTCTTGTTCTTGCCCTGCTATGGAGGGATGGATGACGACGGGTCCCTTTTGCTCATCCGAAATCACTGAGTGTCCTTATCTCCCTCTACCAAAAGTGGGCACCAGGGCACGGGAAGGGAAGCCACACTGAGAGACAGTGGAGACAGGCTGCAGAGTGACCACGTGACCTTGGCGGGCGTCAAAGGGGGTGCCCTTGCTCATCTTATCATTGCTGGGAAATAATGTCCAGGCTAGAGGTGCAGAGTGGAATTTCACACCTGAAGCCCAGGACAGGTGCGAATTGTGGATCCCTGAAGAGGCGAGTTTGCGTTTAAAGGGCTTTTGGATGGCCAGGTGCAGGGTCTTATGCCTAATAATCCCAGCACTTGGAGGAGGAGGCAGGAGGGAGGCTCAGGAGTTCAAGGTGAGTCTTGGCTACATTGTACATTTGAAGCCACCCCGAGTGACAGGAGATACTGTTTCAGACAACACCGAAAAGACCTTGCTGGTTGCTTGAGTTGTGCTGACAGAAGCATCAGGAGCTTGCGGAGAGGCGGAATATTGTAGCTCTGCAGGCCAAAGCTGTACTGAGCTGTCTTTGGTCCCTCTCTGGAGTTGTTTGTTGTCGGCCTCTTATCTGGCACTTTTGTGGTTCCTGAATAGGGTTTTCAGCTGTAGGCCAGGTTGCTGGTCCTCTGGTCCCTATCACCTGTAGGCTGGGGATGAGTTGGCACTGAATCCTGGAGGGGAGTTTCTGCCTTGCTGAAGACAGGACCCGAATCTCATGGGAGATTTCCTCACAATCTTCTCTCTCTACTTATGATTCTATCAAGTTCTTTTGTGAGTATAGGAGCTTGTATAATCTCTTTACAGGACAACCACATTCTTGAGGATGCATATCACTGAGTGACTTGAGTTTGTGTCCCTAGAGGGCACAGCATTTGTGTTTTGGCTTTGCATAAACTATTTCAGAGTTGTGATTATTTTCTGGCCAACACAGGTCTCTGCCTGAGGACTCGTTTAGCGAGTGTTTTCCAGTTGTCCCCTCCCCTTTGCTTGGTGGCTGGTGCGAGCAACAACAGCCAGATTGGCAGCGTTGGTCAAGAGCGCTTTCCCCTCACGAGAGTGTCATGTCACTTGCTGGCTGGTTCATACGGAGTAGAAGCCCCGAGGGGAGCGTGGTCTAGCACGGCTGCCTCTGCTTTGCCATTGATGTGGCTTGAACTCATCGTTCTCTGAACGCCTCACAGTTCTCTCTAGTGCTTGATTGCCAAAAATCATCTCCACCGTCTCCTGGTGTTTAGCTTTTTTTCAGCTTGCAGCTCTGACCGTTTTTTTTTTTTTTTTTACTCCAGGACCCTTTAGAGATTCTGATGAGATGTCTCCTAAAATAGATGTCGCACAGGAGCGTCCTCTAAGCCAAACTGCCGCGAGTTCGAGCGCAGCTGGTTTTGTATGACACTCCTCATAGAACGAGGAGCAGGGAGGATCCTGACTGTCTAACCACTTCTCAATCAGTTGTGTTCGAATCCGCCCTAATTGTACGCGGCCTCGTGAAGGGACTAGAAGTGTATATGTTGGGAAGGACTAGGAGGTGGGCTCCATCCCTGTGACCACTGGGGAAACG